AAGAGTCGGTAGTTTGCACCTTTTCCAAATTTTTAGAACTTACATTTATGGCTACTGTACACAAGTACACAAGCGAGAAATAGTTGCTCAGTGTGCTAATTTTAAAAATTCAAATTCAACGTCATGTTGGTCGATACACATTTTTTTATTTTAGTCAGTTATAATTATTCATCGTTTGTAATTCGTTTTCTCGTTTGAAATAAATTTGAGTTGCCGTTTTATATGAACTCAAGTGCCTACAATTGGTGACCCCGCGAACGTCTACAGATTAAAATGAGCATCAACGAAAACGACACGCTGCTGCAGCCCACCAGCACAGGTCACACCTCGCTGGACAACAGCACACTCGCAGCGCAAATATCATATGGTGCTCTGCCGGACAACGGCGCAGTCACAGCTCATTTAGCAACGGCACGATCTATTAAACTACCGTCCTTTTGGAAGGAAAATCCCTCCTTATGGTTTGCTCAGGTCGAAGCAGCGCTGGACATTTCCCAAGTACGATCTGACGCCGCGCAATTCAAATACGTGCTTGTGCATCTAGACGAGACAGTTCTTCCTTTTATTGCCGACATCGTCTTGTCCCCACCTGCAGAAGACAAGTACAAAGCAATTAAAAAACGAATCATTGATTCTTTCGCTGAATCTGAAGAATCAAGACTCCGACGCATTCTTCGTGGCGTTGACCGTCTTGATGAGAAGCCGACAAGTTTTTTGCAACGACTCAGGAACCTATCCGGAGGAAAAGTTCCAAATTGTTTACTCCGCACTCTTTTCCTCGAGCAGCTGCCGGAAAACGCTCGCTGTTTCCTGGCGTGTAGCACTACTGAGGACTTGGACGATTTGGCGATGCAAGCAAACAAAATCTGCGATGTTCAGTACAACATCATGACACTGAATAGGACCAGCGATGTAGAAGCAACACTGAAAGAGCAAGCACCGTCAAATAACGATATAACTCAGTGTAAGGCAGACATTCAAGCACTAGTAAAAAAGTTTGAGAAATTTACCAAGTCAGCAAAACATGGCGACGCGGATTACTGTTATTTCCACAAGCGATTTGGCGTGAAGGCAAGGAACTGTCGGAAACCATGCACATTTTTACCAAGCAGCTCTAATTTAAACTAGTACGCCCTTCGGTGATATTAGTAGGCACCGCCGAAGGACCCTTCACATCTCGCCTGCAAATCAATGACGCAAAAAATCACATCAAATTTCTTGTGGACACTGGGGCGGACATATCTGTCATACCCAGGAGAGTTTGCAACGACATAGAAAATACAAATGTCAAAACTAAATTTCTCTTATACGCAGCTAATGGTTCACAAATCCGAACATATGGCACTAAAACAATACCATTTGATCTCGGACTCAACCGAAGTTTTATATGGTCATTCACCGTCGCCGAAGTCGAACATCCAATACTAGGAGCGGATTTTTTAAAACATCATGGTTTATTGGTTGACTTACGCAATAAAAAACTTCTGGACCCGAAACAAATAAATGATCGAATCGATTCACGTGTAGTGGAATCTATAGTCACAATTGATTCTGCGCAGGAAATACTTAAATGTTTTCCATCGATAAGTAAACCCACTGCTGTGCAGAAATCAAAACACAAAGTGCAACACCATATTTTGACACACGGCAACCCAGTCTCCGAAAGGGCACGCCGCTTATCAGGGGAAAAGTTATCAGCTGCCAAAAGAGAGTTCGAAAAGATGCTCCGGCAAGGTTTGTGCACACCTTCAAACAGTGAGTGGGCAAGTCCCCTTCATCTTGTTAAAAAAAAAGATGGTACATGGAGAGCCTGTGGGGACTATCGCCGGCTGAACAAAGTGACAGTTCCGGATAAATACCCGATTCCTCACCTGCGGGACTTTACGCTAGAGTTGCATGGATGCAAAGTGTTTTCTACCCTAGACTTGACGCGGGCATATTATCAAGTGCCTGTGGCACCAGAGGATCGATCAAAAACAGCAGTCATAACACCGTTTGGTTTATTTGAATTTAATGTTATGACGTTCGGGCTATGCAACGCCGCACAATCATTCCAACGTTTGATGGACTCAATTTTCCGTGACTGCGATTTCTGTCACACATATATTGATGATATTCTGATCGCATCATCATCTGTTGATGCTCATAAGCGACACCTTCATACTGTGCTAACACGCCTGCAAGAGAACGGTCTGTCCATCAACATTGAGAAATGTTTTTTTTTGCAGAGCGAGGTTACGTATCTTGGACATACTATTAACGAACATGGTATCAAATCAACAGCGGAAAAAGTTGAAACAATTAGATCGTATCCAAAGCCGAAAACTATTTCTGATCTGCGACGATTCTTAGGCTCGTGGAATTTCTATCGCTTAAATATGCCACATGCAGCGGAGATTCATGCACCTCTCGTTTCACTCACAGTCGGCGCAAAGAAAAATGATAAACGTGCTATAATATGGGATGATTCGACAACACATGCATTTAATCAGTGCAAGCAGGCGCTGGTCGATGCTGTGCAGCTTGCCTACCCTGCACCCGATGCTTCCTTAAGTCTTCGTTGCGACGCCTCCGACAACGCAATCGGTGCTGCACTTGATCAAACAATATCTGGTGTAACTCAGCCACTGGGGTTTTATACAAGCAAGCTAAGCAAAACCGAACGCAATTACAGTACGTATGATCGTGAGTTGCTGTCAATTTTTAAGGCAATAAAGTTTTTCAAACACTTGGTGGAAGGTAGATATTTAATTATATATACGGATCATAGACCATTGTCCTTTGCAATGTCACAACGATCCGACAAGGCCTCGCCACGGCAGCAACGCCAGCTTCAGTATATCAGCCAGTTCACCACTAACATTATTCACGTACCTGGTAAAGATCATATCGTTGCCGATGCGATGTCCAGGATTGACACTATTAATTTGCCCACCTTATTTTCGCCTGAAGGGATCGCAGCTGAGCAGATAGATGACGAACTCAAACAACTTCTCAAATCACACACAACATCGCTGCAGTTTCGTAAACAGAAGATCGAAGGCTCAAACACCGAACTCTACTGTGATGTCTCTACCAACGTAATCCGCCCTTACATACCCGAAAAGCTTCGATTTTCGATTTTCAAGAATGCACATGACTTATCGCATCCAAACGCCCGTGCGACTCAAAAACTTATCAACCAACGATATGTGTGGCCGCATATGAATCGCGACACAACGAAATGGGTTCGTAACTGCTTACACTGTCAGAGAAGTAAAATCCAAAGGCACGAAAGAAATGTACCACAGCATATTAATATACCCAGCGAACGCTTCAAACATATACACATCGATATCGTAGTAATGCCATACTGTAACGGATATCGATACTGTTTGACAGTAATTGACCGCTTCACACGATGGCCAGAAGCCATACCCTTGAAAGACATATATGCAGAAACCGTCATCAAAGCACTTCTTGAAGTTTGGATCAGCAGGTTTGGAGCCCCCGTTACAATCACCAGCGATAGGGGAACACAGTTCGAATCTAAGATTTTCGAAGCCTTTACAAAACTGATTGGATGCAAGCGCGTAAGAACAACTCCTTATCACCCAGCATCTAATGGTATGATCGAACGTTGGCACAGGTCGCTAAAGGCGGCGCTTATGTGTCATGCTTCAGCGAGTTGGGTGGATTCGCTACCTGTTGTGATGCTGGGACTTCGCACAAGTTACAAGGCTGACATCCACGCCTGTGCGGCAGAGATGCTGTATGGAACAACGCTGCATCTGCCAGGCGATTATTTTTTGGATCAAGGTAAAACAGTAGAACCACTCCAGTTCATAAATAATTTTCGGGATTTTATGCGCAAAATACGATCAGAACCGGCAGCTCACCATAATAAAACCAGGGCTTTCCATCACCAATCATTGCGCACTTGCACACACGTTTTTGTTCGGGTAGACGAAGTGAAACAACCATTGCAGCAGCCGTATCGAGGACCTTTTGAGATTTTGAAACGAATTTCAGACACTGTTTTTGTGGTCAAAGTCGAAGGTCACTCGACAACGCTATCAACTGAACGTCTTAAGCCGGCATTTGTCGAAATCTTACCGGATTTGGTTCATCCAGTAGCAACGCATAGATCATCCAGTTCAAGGATTTACGAAACACGACAACGTAGCAATATCATGACTTCTCATATAAGTTCGAGTCACTCCGGGGGGACTACTATGGCTACTGTACACAAGTACACAAGCGAGACATAGTTGCTCAGTGTGCTAATTTTAAAAATTCAAATTCAACGTCATGTTGGTCGATACACATTTTTTTATTTTAGTCAGTTATAATTATTCATCGTTTGTAATTCGTTTTCTCGTTTGAAATAAATTTGAGTTGCCGTTTTATATGAACTCAAGTGCCTACACATTGCACCGTAGTAGTAAGACGTCTTAAGTTTGACATAGTGACAGCCGATTTCTAAGTGGATGTTTAATTATAATCAATTATCTCTTATTGTCATCTTCTCAGTGTACTTAATATATGATTAACTCACCACCACCTTTCATAAGATTTATTAATGGCGAAACCATCTTTTCCTGTAAATCCTGTAAGTCGTGAAGTTGGGTTGGATGGAATCCAAACAGTTTGTTATTTTGCGAAATCCTAGGAAACGAAACAATTGCAAGCTGACACCTTTTTAATAATAGTTTCAATCTGCTCACACGTATGAGTTGTCAAAAACCATTGTTTTGAACATGTAAACCTCAAGCAAATGTCAATTACACCAATTTACAAAAGTATTTATTAAATGTAAAAATAAGTAAAAAATCAGTACAAACTCAAAAAATCAGTAGATTTTGCGTACTGATTTCGGGCTCTTAAAAAACAGTACAATAGAAAAAAATCAGCACATGTACTGATTAAATCAGCGCATCTGGCCACCCTAGTCCTGCACTGAATGAATAAAACACAACGTTGAGCTGCTTGAGGGAAACTAACAGCCAGTTTCACGAAAGCAATTTAAGTGAAAAATTATTTTTTTCAGTTTCACCATTTGACTTAATTTTTATTTAAATGGTCACCTTTTCCCATTTAAATATTATTTAAATACGATGATATACAGCTATGTTCACGTTTTTCTATCAGCTGATTTGAAAGTAGCAGAAGATAAATATATTGTAAAAAATGGAATCTGAAGACGAAAGTGATATGGAGTGCGAAATTTTAATAAATAATTTTATAAATCGTCGTCCTCGTATAATGAGGGAACGACGTAATTGTTTTACATATTATGATGAAGTCGACTTTCGGTATAGGTTTCGTTTGACTAAACAATCAGCTTGGATGGTACTTGAACTGATTAGGAACGAAATTCGGCACAAAACTAACAAGTAAGTAAACATTAAAGTACCTTCGATTACAAATTCTGCTATTTTTTGATAAATATTGTAGAAACGGTGCGATCTCTCCCGAAGTAATGCTTTTATTAACACTGCGTTTCTTTGCAACTGGCTGCATGCAAAGAACTGGCGGTGACCTGTGTGGCGTTTCAAAAAGTTCTTCCTGTCGCGCAATAAGGAGAGTGTGTCACAACATTGCATTGTTAAGACAACGATTTATAAAAGTCCCCTTGGAATTAGAAATCCAAAGAGAAATTCAGAGACAATTTTATAAAACGGCAAAGTTTCCACGCGTGCTAGCTGCCATGGACTGCACACATATAAGAGTACTATCTCCAGGTCAGTACATTAAATAATTTCAACTAATGAGGATTATCTAAAATGCGTCACTATTTAGGTGGGGATGAAGCGGAACTCTTCCGAAACCGAAAGAACTACTTTTCAATTAATGTGCAAACGCTTTGTGACAGCAAGCTGAACATCATGGACATCGTAGCCCGTTGGCCAGGATCGTCACATGACGCAATAATACTTAAAAATTCAAGAATATTTAGCCGATTTGAAGCAGGGGAGTTCGGGAATGCAATAGTCGTTGCCGACAGTGGCTACCCTTGCAATCGGTGGATAATGACACCTTTGTTAAAAGTACAAACTCCGGCTGAGGCGTTATATAACGAATCGCAAATCAGAACTCGTAATTGTATTGAACGTCAATACGGTGTGTGGAAACGAAGATTTCCAGTTCTTGCGCTGGGAATACGAATGAATCTCAGGGAAGTGGAATGTATAATCGTTGCAACCGCAGTTTTACATAACATTTGCAACTTAAACAACGATTGTGTCGCACCAGCAGTCTACGAAAATGAAATAAATAATATCATCGATGCAATTGTTGAAGTACCCACAATCTCAACTTCAGGTCGAAATGACAATTTATATAGAAACCATATAATACAAAACTATTTCGAATGCTTGTAAATTTCTTTTGATTATTAAAAAAATAAACATCTTTATAACTTCTTTTTTTTAATTCAGGAACACATTTTAGTATTTATGTAAATACTGATAGGGCACATATGTATGCTTGTAAATAAATATCTTTTATATAAGTATTAAAAAAAAATTGTATCTACATATTTATAAGTCAGATACACATTCTAGTACTTATATACATTTGTTAATACTGATAAGGCACATATATGAGTGGAAGATCGACCTATCTCGGCAGCCAGTTCGAAAACGCCCTATCTCAGAAAACTTTTCAACAACGCTCTATTTCAGAAAACTTTTCAAGAACGCCCTATTTCTGAATTTTATTGAAAATATCCTGTCTCAAAATTTAGTTGAAGAACGCTCTATCTCAGAATTCGGTCAGCTGCCGATTCAAAAACGCTCTATCTCAGCACATTTTCAATGTATTTTCGTTTGAGATGGGGCTTTTTTGAGCCGAATTCTGAGATAGGACGTTCTTCAACCAAATTTTGAGATAGGATGTTTTCAATAAAATTCTGCAGTAGAGTGCTCTTGACAAGTTTTCTGAGATAGGTCTATCTTCCACTCAGCCATCGATATACAAAACGAAAACCAAATAAATTCAAAATTGAAACTTTGTTCGAAAGTTAAAAAAAATTCAACAAAGTATTACAAAAATTACAAACTTTTACAGTTTGTTTAATGTTCATTAATTATTTAGAAAAGTATTGCTAATTTCATGCATTAATTTAATACATTTATTTCGTTTCATACACTGATTTTATGCCAAAATTAGAAAAACTCCACAAACTTTCCATCACAGTTCCAAGGTTTTTAATTCGAATTTCGAGAACCCTTTTTGGTATGCAGTTTTATGGCTTATCAAATTTTAATGCAATAAGCTGCATGTTTGAAGTTTCTAGAAAATCCCGTTGATTTTTTATATTTTTTTGGTGACGGGGTTATGCACTTTCTTCTATATAAAAAGGTACTTTGTATGAAAGAAAATGCTTGATACCGTCAACAAAAAAAAAATATAAAAAATAAACGGGATTTTCTAGAAACTTCAAAAATGCAGCTTATTGCATTAAAATTTGATAAGCCATAAAACTGCATACCAAAAAGGGTTCTCGAAACTCGAATTAAAAACCTTGGAACTGTGATGGAAAGTTTGTGGAATTTTTCTAATTTTGGCATAAAACAGTGTATGAAACGAAATAAATGTATTAAATTAATGCATGAAATGAGCAATACTTTTCTAAATAATTAATTGATATTAAACAAACTGTAAAAGTAGTTAAGACCGTTCAAAGCGCTACAATTCAATTTTTTTTTAACATAGGGGTTAAAATTAAGTATTTTCAATTGTTTTGAGTTTATCCGAAAGTATTCGCATTTCAAGGGCATGCTTCTCGGATGCAAATTGTTTTTGTAGTTCGTGTACTTCTTTCATTTGCGTAATACGTAAAGTGTGCTCGATTTTCGCAAATTCCACTTCTTCTTTCAGTTTTATTTCCGTCCATTTGGACTTTATTTCTGCTAGCTTTGCCCAACTTGTGTGTTTTCTGTTTACACTTTCAGTGCAAAGCTTCTTGTTTTTAGGCGTTTTCAACTGCATTGGTGTGTAGTGCTCCCAAGGCTCATAATCTGCAAACAAACAAGCTATGTAATTAGAATTTTAAAATTATAAAACATTTGCTGTTACCATCTTTTTCAGTTGTATGATTTGGGGTTGAAGCACGAAGCCTTTTGCTTGTTGATTGTTCACGCATGCCCATATCATCGATTACACAATCTGTGAATAGTTTGTGATATTTATTAATTGATGTCTTGCTACTTCAATAAACAAACTTCATTGTACCACCTTCTTCTTTCATCGTTTGGCTTTGCACCACTTGCTCGCTTTGAACATTTCGCTGCTGAGGATCAGTTCCAACTGTTAAAAGGCCAAACATACATAAATGTACATGTTAGTCATAATTATCATTTGGTAATTTGCAACTGTGTACATACCTGAATGATCCAAATCTGCAGAATGTTTATCGAATGGTAGGAAGTCGTTGTCGTATTTGGACTCCATTCCCTGCACTTGTTTCTCCGGCAATATCTCACTCAGTAATATGTCAATACTGGAAGCAGCTGGCTCTCTGGATGGACCTCCGCCCGTCCCATATGCATACTTTTTCTGGTCTGCAGATCGTTTTTTCATGTCTGCTTTCAAGTTCAAATACTTTGTTCGCAGATTTTTTGCTGACCGTGGTGCTCCGGAGCACATCGAGTTGAAACTCTCCGCTACATTTTCCCATGCCTTTTCTTTTTGATCGACACGCACTCTCCCCGTAGCTTTACACTCCAAAATATTTGCATTTTTCCGCACTAGGCTTAGCAAAGTACTGATATCGTCTGTTGAAAAATATTTGGTTCGAGCTGCACTTTCCATTTTGAACTTTTCTAATATAACACCACAATTTATTTGTTTACATAAATCAGCTGTTATTTCTACTAACATCCCTGCTTTTAGATTTTTGGGTTGCCAAATCTGAATAATGGTGAAACGCAGGAAACTTAAGTGCAAACTTAAATAAAAATTAAAATTAAAATTAAATCCGAGTTAATTTGCAATGAACAAATTTGGTGAAACCGACTGTAAGTGTAGCTAAGCTGACGCACGGAGGGAGTGTGTCATACAAAAGTTGGTCATAAATAGTAAAAATGGGCCTAAAGTTGTCAAATTTGGTACATAAGCTTCTTTGAAGCATATTATTTAGGAAAAATACCCAAAATGAACTTAATAAGTACGTTTACACATAGGGCCACTCGCCATATAACGGGAATTTTAAAAAACTTTTAAATTGCAATAAAGCCTCAGAAGCCCCTACCTAGCACACAAGGGATACGGTTTTTATAAATGAGTTATGTATATAAAAAAACGCAGTAATTGAACTTGAACACTTTTTTTAGCCAACTAAGAAAATTTAATCGAAAAATGTAATATTTTGGTGTAAAACCTAACACAACATAAGAATAAAAAAAACTTTAACTGCTTTATAAATTGAAAACTTGTATGAAAACGTCACTTTATAAAGCTCTTTAAACATATTTTTATTTTTTATGAATAAGACCATACGTTTTTAAGGTAATATTAAATCGGTACAAAAAAAACAACGGAATTATTGCGGTTGCATTTTTGCACATTCGATAGTTTGACATGGTAGCGATGATATATCGCTCTCATTTTGATTTTTAAAATAGGTGCCGACTCTACCCAGAAATATGTAGGCGTTAATACTTCATTTTAACACCTTTTGTTTGAAACTCATATTTTACTTAACCGCATGTAGCATGATTAAACTTTTTTTATTATAGAAAAATGGCAAAATATATCTGAATTAAAGTACGAATTTTCAAAAACTTTGCTGGGAGTGCATAAGCTTCTCATTTGATACCCATATTGTGGCATTAAGAAAGCTTAAATCTTTAATAACAGCTGTTGTATTTTTTAGAAAAGTGGCAACCCCGTACAAAAATGATTTTATATTTCTTCAAACGCACATTTTTTATAGCAATTCTACAATAAAATGTATTTACCACGTGTAAAATATAAAAAACGTGTCTCCTTATTTTTGATATTCTTCAGTTCTGGGGGTGGCAGCAGGAAAAATCAAAAAAGTGGATTTTCCTATGTATCTTTGGGGCACCCTACTATACATAACTACATGCATACTTGCATCTGCATTTTAAATGTCATCGATTATCATAATCATTATCATTACAGCCATTTACACTGCCAAGTGTCACTGCCAGCGTCATTTGACCCAGAATCGACGCTAGGTTAAGCGATGTTTAGATCATTGCGCCTAAAACTATGCATTTACTTATGTAGAGCCGACCTTCCTAACCGCATGATCTTAACATGCATGTATGTATGTATGTATGAAAGTGTGCGCTTACAAATTTACGTATGTGTGGGTGGCTGTTAGACATTTAAATGTGTATGTATGTACATATTTTCCTTACTTAACCTAGCATTCACAAGTGAAGCCTGTGCACTTAACCTCAACGGAATATGTATCCTTCGGTTTTATTCGATTACTTAAATTTTATGTTTATTGCTTATAAATAACAAAAAAACAAAAATTGCGCTACAGTGCTCAATGGCAATCCTTGAGCTTCTTCGCCCATGGGTATTGTGCGCCACGAGAAGTTGATTAGAATTAG